CCAAGAAAAACTTGCTTTGTGTGTTTTTGAAATCTGTAATTTACTGATCAGCAAGTACTAGACCCAAAAAGAAGGTAAAGAAGTTTCTACCCCTTATTAATACATTTTAGGGATCTGCATTTCAAATTGGCAATTACCCTTAATAGGAAATTAAACTGAATAAAAATTGCAAATATCAATCTAAAAATTTCCAGTGATTGGAAAGTATCATTGTAGTCTAAGCCTTTACGAATAGCACATAGCACATATGTGCTGCCAGATTTTATTAGAATAATTCTTTTTCGAGGTGAGTGCTTGAGGTAAGTGTTCACTTAAATGTGCCTTTTCCCCATTTAAAGACCAAGAACACTGTGTTTCATCACAGTTTTGGGGTTGATTTTCTTTACCTTATTACAACATTATCTGTCTCTTACAGACGTATGTTTCAATGTGACTCCTGCTGTAACTTAGACAAAAGTTAAACACTGCAATTCATGCAGTGGAATCTGCTGTTTCGACAGTAGAAACATTTCCAATAAAATAAAATAGACAATTGAATGTTTTTTTTTCCTGTCTGTTTTCTTCGATGTCATGGGAAACAAAAGAAAAAGAAGTTATTGACTATTTTGGCCATATAACTAGGTATTAGGTAAACCACTGTGAGTTCACAAAGCTAAGTTAATTTGAAATCACACACCCTCCATCGGAAAATCTGTGGTCCAACAGCAAAGGTAAGAATATAGTACAAACAGTGTTAAAAAAAAAAAAACTCTTAGAGATGCCGTTATAAAAGAATATTTATTTATTTAATATTTTCTTGCCTTTTTTAACCTTATCCAGTTGAACTTGAGAGATATTAAATATAAATCATTAAACACATGAATAGACAAAAATATTTCTATTGTGAAGCACCAGGAAATAAACACAGAACTGTAAAATATTGCCAGTTCACTAGCTTTTATTTTATTACGCTTTTACTTTGAAATTCTTAAGTAAACTTCCAGTTCTGACAGCCAGGGCACCTCAAAGTGCGTGTCTGCAACGAAGCGTCCTGACATTGCAGGTCTGCAGCTAGACTCTCTTTCTAATGTGTTTTCTAAATAAACCAAACAACTAGTGAAGAAATAATGTAACATTTTTCTCTGTCTTTCCCATTTTTTCCCCCCAACTCATTTTCTTCATTAATTTCCAACAGAAAACATAAACACTGGGAAAAAAATAGGAACCAAATTGTTTTGGTACGATCTTACCACCCACCTCTCTGGTGATATTCATGTTAATCGTCTTGACAATTTTGTTTCCATAAATCTTAAGGGTACTGCCGCCTGACAGCGGCTACAGTATTTTCTATTTGAATCTGAGGAAACAAGCCTATTTAAAAGGTTTTTGGGAATACTGTACCATGGATCCAAGTAAGACTGATATTACAAATCTTTTTAGTAATTTGATGGAAAAAAAATCTAGCCAGAAAAAAAATATCTACAAAAGTAGTAGTAAAAATTACAATAGTCTAGTAACTATTGTGCATTTGTTTTCACTAATATTAGCAGACACTAATAAAGCAATTAAGCAATATATGTTAAATATATCTTACGAATATCCCCCTCACAAAAAAGATGTTGTCTAAAGAAACTCAATTTAATCCTTAAAATATGACTAAATGTAAAATAACAATAAAGCTATACTTCTTCTTTTAAAGGCATACAATTGCTATATACTCAGAGACTGCAAACTTCATCTCAGTAGTGCATCAAGCAGCCACTGAGCATATTATTTTTCATTATGAGTGAAAAACCAAACTGCTTAGTAAAATAGAGATAAGGTGTAAAAAAAAAAAAGTGGAAGTAGTTATATTGATTGTCTTTTACATCTGAAAATAGATGTTCATTTAGGAAATTATTTCTAGGAAATTTAAACAAAAAAGAAACACAACAAATCACATCACAGTTTGAAATATAATTGGATGTGCAATACCACAGTACACCAAAGGGTTTTCCAAATTACCACATATGAAATTAATCATGGAATATGTCTACGCTGCATTTTTCCCATAATGATATACAAGAATGACTTGTATAATTGTTAAGTACAGTTACACCCATTCACCCTCGATCAAATACAAATGCGCTCAGCTAATGGCTTTATAATAGCTCAACGACTTGTGGGACGGGCTTGGTCAGAAAGTAGTTACATGCACTGAAGCTGCCCTGAATGGATCTAAACTAGCACTCCTCCTTCCCTTGTGTGTTTAAAGGAGAGCATGAATCAGGAATATGTCTACAGTGCAATAAAATCATTACATTCATTAAGACATAAAATGAAATGATGGTATTAGATGAAACTGAACTTAAAGTATTTGTACACACTAATCTAGCTGTAAAAAAAAGCATACATAGCCTAATTAATATAGTCTATTAACCTAAAGCAATATGCATTGTATTGTTGTTACTTGTCAGGTACGCTGTTCAGTTCTACCTTCCAGTAGAACTGCTGTCAGTCCCAGGACTGGCATGGCTATCACTGCTCCCACATAGTTAGAGACAAATGCAGAGGACAAATTTGCCACAGTGATCAGCTTCATAGTCATGGTAGGACACTTCTTTGATTTTATTTATTTTACTCAGGCTACTTGTAAGTCCTCAGCCCGCCAAATGTTGCAAGGAAAATATCATTCACTTAAGATTGTATGGGGGGATGGTCATTCAAGAAGGGGAATGATTTTTAAGATTTTTTTAACAAGGGGGATGCCACCCCCCCTCATCCCCCCTCAAATCGAGTACTGTTTGTACATTAATGCTCTTAATAAACCTTACGTATTTGAAACAAAAAAAAAAAAGGAATACTAACTGAAGGTCGCCTGCTTTATCACTGGATTTTAATCGACACCATTGCCAGAGTAATTTTTACAAACACCATCATCCTAACCATAAGATTATTGTCATTACACAGGTACAGGAACAAGGCAACGCAATGCAGTTTAGGTCTAACCAGAAGTGCAATAGGAGCAAGAGCAGGATAAATAATGGTTCCATAAATACAGGACATGGGTTTCTACTGAATAAGTATAGAGATGAATACCATTATAAACAGAATCTTACTAATAGATCAATATAATATATAGATAACTAGTGTTATGAACTAAATTTACAGCTGGATATGTACCTAATATAATATACAGGTGGATATTACTATAAAAAGTGTTTTTACTGTTATGTACAATAGCATATATACAGATGGATTTTACTATAAAACAAATAAATAAAAGTAAAGGTGAGTAAAGGTAATTGCATATTACAGTTAAAGTAGGTTATTGCAAATGTATATGTAAACAATTGGTACTGTGAATAAACAGTCGGCAGTGCAAATATAAACAGTCGGCAGTGCAAATCGATATTCAAGTGCAAATTCTGGAAAAGTTTCAGCTGTAAAGATGATTAAGATTGAGAGGCATAAGGTACTCAGTGATATAGGATGAAAATAAATATTTGTATTTGCAACATTTGTATTCTAAACCTGTGAGTAGTTTTGCAACAATGCGTCAAGAAAAAAAGAGTAATCTATAGAAAACAACCCCCTCCCAACAGTTAGGTTGTTTGTGAGTAGAAAAACTAACTAGTGCTCAAAAAGAAACAGCTTCAGAGACACTTTGTGAGTTGCTTGGAACAGACACACAAACATAACTGGCAAGGTAGACACATAGTGGGGAGACAAAAGAATAAAACCTGGAGCTAAAAGAGGAATGCATCAAAGCACAGCTTTTATTCCAACTTATCCGCTTCCTTGAAAAGATGTCAATTTAAACTGCACAATGTTGTAGGGATGCTATCCCTCCCACCTGCTCAAATTGTGTCCCTTATTTGCAACCTATTGATTTGACTGCAAACCATTGAAGAATTACTCTAATGAATACTGGAGTTAGTTGCTGTAATGTTGCTCCCTCGGGCAACAAGAGAAAGGTAGCGACAACATCATGTCCAATTACTTCCCAAATGCAGCACAAAAGCCCTCGGCCAATTTGTAATGTCAATACCAATTTATGGACTGCATCCTGTAGCGGACAGGGTAAATTACTGTGTGCTTTTCTGTTAACAGCTTTTCAAGTGGAATATTATAGTCATACTAGAGCAGGACATTAGATCAGTGAAGGCAAAGGCCAGCATTTGACAAGACAAATGAGATTAATAAGGCAGTTTGTTTAAAGTAGTATTTAGCTAAGTAAAAAATACAATTTCCCACTTCCTGCAGATAAAAATGAAATAACTAAATAGAAGAAAGTCTATTTACCAATTAACAGCCGTATTGGATGAAGTTTCACCTCAATATCCCGTTTATCCCCTGGTACACTTGGGGGTGTATCAGGTGGACTCATCATTTACCAATCCTAACATATACAAGAGCTATTTTGGAGGATATAATCAAATGTAAGCATGTAAGTACGGTAAACTGCTCTGATCTTATAGCATTTACGGTTGATCTCTCAGCAGAGAGCTGTCCAGCAGAGTGTGAGATCTTTAATTGCCTAGAAGCTTTTTGACGGGTGTCCTCCAGCTTAAAGCCCACTCTGGATCAGTTTCCAAAACGGGGCACTGAAGCATTGCATTTTTTTTATTTTTGCAAAGTGCTCCTAAATTACATCAGTGGCCTGAGCGTGAAACCCTAACGCTGTCTTTCAGAGTTTCTGCCTAAGTTGCAAGTGTATTAGTCTGTTTATTACTATTTATTAGAACAGTTACCAAGCGCAAAAACGATCACTCAGAAATATTTATCAGAATTCTTCACATTTTTCCGATATCTGTCGCAAAAAGTAGGTTCAAATGAATCATTCTAACACAGAGGGTAAGACGCTCCAACTCCAATTCGCCTCTAGCCTCGATGCTGACGGACACATCGGCATCAACTCAGATAAACACAACTATCAGATGCGTCAAGCTACTTCTGCCACAGTTAAAACGCAGATGAATGTTGGTGCCTTTTTTTAACGTGGGAAGGTGCAGTTATAAAAGACGCTCTTGATGCCTTACCCTGAGCGACTCCTGCGCGTGTAAGCACCAAGAGAACTAGGATCCCCGGCGTGGCGAACATTCTCAGCAGACTCGAACCCCTCCGTAGTACTTCTCTCCTCGGTCCACTTTTGTCCATTACAGAGGAGACACGGCGGATCGCGCACAAACACACACAACTCCTCCGTCCAATGTGGAGGTGGTGAGGGGAAATAAGGATCCCCCTCCGCTTCTCCAGCACAAGATCTACTGATGAAGTCCGAAGCCAGGTGTGGATGTAAAGCTGATATAGTTCCAGGGTCTGTGAGTAAAGCTGCAGCCGGTTGAAAGTGAGGTGGAAGAAATTACTGGTCTGTTGTGTCAGCCGCGCTGCTGTTTTCTCTCCTCTCCTCTCCTCTCCTCTCCGTGCGCTCTCTCCATTCAGCCACAGTCTCCGTTTACGCAGAGAGAGAGACATGCCACCGCCCTCTGGCTACGACTGTGAGCATCTCACTTTCCACCTTTTTGCCTCAGACGGCGGCTCTCTTTTCCTTTGGATGTTTAACGATGTAATAGGAAAAAAAAACTTAAATTTTTAAGCACGTGCCTGTAAATGTCTCTCAGGTAATGATGATGGTGAAAATTGCGTAATGCTCTTAAGTTAACCTTTAATTCTCACTTAACTCTTAGCAAGTTTTTTTAATTAAAAAGGCAAAATACTCTATGGTGAATTATTTCACGTCAGGTTGAAGGAGGATCTGTGGAAAGTTTTAGCAACTAAATTAAAATGTGTGTTAAAGCTTAAATGTTTTCAGTTATCGAATCCAAGAACAGGAACTTACATAATTGCATTCATACCTTTCTAAGTAGGCTACTGACTTGGCCATTCACATATTAATACCTTGGTCATTAAACCTCCTATTGATACTTTATTTAATGTGGATGGATCTGCTGAAAAACGAAACATTAATCTACTGCCAAATGTGTAGTCTGTACCTTTCTGTATTGGGCGAGAGCAGAGCTTTGCAAATATTCACTTAGAGAAACAGCCATCCACACATATTTCACCCAAATTTTTAGAATTATGTAATTTTATTTCATTGCAAATTTCCATTTACTTTTTTTTATTTATAACAAACCTATTAAATAAACCTTAGATGATCCATATTCATGAATTCAATCATTTAATTAAAATACATAAATGTCAGGTTTATGTATTTAAAATTAATAAAGCATACTTGATTAAAAAAATACTTCTAAGTGTAAGTTTATTTGTTTGAAATGTGTTACCTTTATGCTATTCAAACAATAAAATGTGTGTATTTGAAATAATTACGCTAGTAGTATTATATTTGAGTAAGTATATTTTATTATTACGAAAATCGTAGACCTGATGATTTTGTAATTTAGATAAATATGTGTATTTGTACAAATGGATATGGATTATATAAGGTTTACTTAATAAATTTGTGTTAAAATTGTCTGGAAAAAAGTAAATGGGAATTTGCTATTTAATATATTTATATAACTCTTAAAATGTGGGTGAATTATTTCAGTGACAGTACAAAAAAAGTGCAGGAATGTGTGCAATGTTACAAAATTGCCAGGTACAGTGGACAACACCAGCAGCTGAAATTAAGTAATTTGGAAAAATATTACTTTTGGAAAATATTAACCTGTAATGATTCAAAAGTATTTTAAATTAATTAATTAAATAAATGTAACTTTTTAATTGTATTCTTTCTTCAAGGAGTGGGACCTGTAACTAATAGGAGGCTCGTTAAAACCAAAGGTAAATTAAGGTCTTGTAAGAAACATTCTCAATTCTTTAAAAAAAATTGTTAATCAAATAGGGTTCATGCTCATGCTCTGTAAGCTGATTTCTCAGTGTTCACATATTTAACTGGTGAACCCAGGACCCAAAACAGGTCTGACAAACATGTCTTATTATTATAGTATAAGGCAGGAAAGGAAGAAGCTGTGAGAACAGCAAAAGCTGCAGAGTCCACAGCTGAACCATGATAAACATGGCAGCACGGGACAACGTACGGGTAGCTGCTCCTATCATATCTGTCTCATCAAAATCCACAACCTCATCTTTGAAGGGGGAAAAGCAAGATCAAACAAGTCTAAGTTGTTTGGTATCTCAAAACATCTGCTGCCATCACAGCTATCTGTTTTGTCAGAATACACAATATGATATTTGAAAAAGGAACAACTCTGTAACAAGCATCAGTTGATGTGGTTTATCATTGCATCTGCTGCTATTTCATTTGTTACCGTGATTGGCTAAAACTGAACTTTGGTACAGTAGGTGGGCTACAGGTGTCACTTTGTCAATCAGCTTGAAAGGTTCTGCCCCCAGACAAAGTAGATTGCAACAGTCCCAGATTCATAACGTGTAGAACTAAACCTGAATGCTACACATTATCAGTCTGAGTTGCCAGGTTAGTTTTCAAATTCATTACTCTAAAAACAACTGATTTAATTTTGTAGAATATTTTCCTATGAAAAGTGACAAGAATTCCAAAAGAGAAACTATGTAGAACTGAAAAGACAGACAGACAGACAGACAGACAGACAGACAGACAGACAGACAGACAGACAGACAGACAGACAGACAGACAGACAGACAGACAGACAGACAGACAGACAGACAGACAGACAGACAGACAGACAGACAGACAGATAGATAGATAGATAGATAGATAGATAGATAGATAGATAGATAGATAGATAGATAGATAGATAGATAGATAGATATGGTATTTGAGATGGCCCCATGGCCATCTCTATTAGATCTCCAATACTGTGAGATTTCAATAATGGAGTTTTGTTTCCTGAGGGGAATGTTTATTAAACTGAACATACAAAAAAATGAAAAAACAATGTAATATAGTCTGCAGTAGGGAAACATTTTAGGGCTTATTTCATAAAGGTTTATTTTTGTAGGGGTTCCACAGAATACAGTTTTATAACCATAAAAGGTAATAATGTATCAGGCTGCCGTCTAAATGACCACGGGTAACTTAAAAGTTAAGGGCTGCATCATGAAATACTGTAGAAATAAAAACATCTAATATGCTCAATATTTGATGGGTCATTGTAACCATACAATTGAATTTTAAAAGGTCATCCAAAAAATATGTATCCTTATATCATTTTCAAGAAGGAATAAAATCTTGTTTACAGAGAAATGAATCATATTTTTTCTGTAATAAATGGCCAACTGTTCTTTTTTGATGACTTGCGACCAAGTGCCAGATTTTAACAAAAGAACTCAGGGTCAGAAGACAATGGCCCAAAGATTTTAAAGGTTCAGAATTAGTTTTCTAGATAAAAAAAAAAAAAAAACATAACAACAAATTTGACCATTTTAAATTTCCTGTCACCGTGTGAAGAGAATGACCAGGGTGATAGTAGAATGTTGGTAGACAATGTGGGATAGCTGTATTTCAATGCAGAAATCTGCTGAACTTAGTGATACAGAGTATACTCAGCAACCAAGAAACTTCAAAAAAGAATAACACCCGAACTGAGAAAGAACAAGCAGTGAACAGCAACTTAAAATCTAATGGGAAGTTGGTCATGGTAGTTAACAGAAACACAAAAAAGTGTGGTTTAAAAAAAATCCTTTATTTAGTTTTCATATCAGAGGTTAAAGGTATAGTGGAGGATGTTCTCTTTCCGGGTGGATCATCAAAATAAGTGGTTCTCCTAATTACAATCATTCTGGTTATATGTTTACATAATGCCGTCCTACGTGCTCATCCCATTTTCACCAACTGGTGGTGAGTCTGACATAGTGGGAAAATTGCAAATCTTCTTTTGGAAAGTATGCTTGTGTGATTTGTTTGATCTGTTGATGTATGTAATTTTCTCTGAAATGTTATGATAATTATACTGTTGCAATTGTTGAGTTATAACCTTGATTGAGGAAAGAGAGTCCTGCTGTGGTTATGTTGTCATTCTAGGTTCTTTCCTGACTTCCTGGATAAGCTACTTCATAATGAGTAATGGTGTGTTCATACCGAATTTGAACTGGGCATCAAAAACATTTAAATGCTGAAATTTGAATGCTGGATGAAATGCTGGTCAAGATACTTTGATGCCTTGACACTTCAGCACTCTGGATGCTCTACTCTCTTGTTGTTTATCTACTCCGTTCTGTCATTGCAATCCAAAGAGGAGCTTTAGTTTAAAAAATTTAGTTTAAAATAGTTTTAGGATGTTTTCAAGCGAGAAAGTCCACATCAAAACGTTACCTGTGCAGTCAGTTAATAAGAATTACGATCCTGTTAAAGTATGCAGCTCTTATTCAGAGTACCAGACCTCCAGCATTCCAGCGGGGGGCAGTGCTGGGACTTTCGTGATTGAAAGCTCTCAGAAGCAGAGAGTCTATCAGGAATTTAATATCTTTGAAGATTCCCAGTCATCTAGGTCATGGTCAAGCATGAAAAGTTCAATTTAGGCAACTGGATGAAGTTTTCTAGAAGTCATTTCACTTCTCATCTAAGAGGCTTCCTCAGTTCTAACTAGTGGTGTTGAGCATTGAGATTAATATAATGCAGGTGTAACAAAGCAGCGGCTACAAGAAAGTCATCAGCTGCCCCCAGCAGTTAGAAAAGGAAATAGCCATTGACAGGTAACAATTCAATTCTATCTATTCAAATATGCCATTTTCAGCCCAACTAATGTTAAACACCCTATTCAGAGACCTTAAGGACCAGCACCAAATACCCTATAGAATCATTCTATGACCTCTTGAAATCATGCCTTTTTGAGAAGCTTTGTGAGGAGATGGACGCAGAGCGCAGATGGCTTCTCATGTACAGTAAGTAAGTAAGATGGTTATAACGAGGGAAAACACTGAAACAACAGTCTTCAAGTAGGAAGATAAAGTAGATGCATTTAAAGCCAAACTGGGAATGTGGAAATGATGCTTGAACAGAGGCATATTGGACATATATCAAACATTAGAGGGGATTTTGTGTCAGATGAACCAGGGCCTTCATTCTCCTAGCTGAGCACTACTTCACAACCAAGAAGGACCCACAAATTGCCACGGAATGGATCCGTGACCCATTTATCAACAAACCGGGTCAATCTAGCATGTCGGTGCAAATTGAAGATCAACTGCTGGATTGCAAACAACGATGGCCTTAAAAAATGTTTGAGACAACAATTCTGGCTGTGTTCTGGATCAAAGTCACGGCAGAATACCCTGAGATCGCCACCAGAGCATTGAAAACCTTGTTGCTATTTTCAACATTCTATCTGTGTAGAGAAGGATTTTCTGCAGTGACAGCTACCAAAACAAGTAAAAGGAGTAGACTGGACATAAGAAACACACTACGGTTGTCATTGTCTCCCATAACCCCAGATGGGACAATCTCATTGCAGAGAAACAAGCTCAGGGCTCCCATTGACTTGGCGTGATGGTGAGTTAAAATTCATACACTTTTTACATTTTTTTGGTG